TAATTAAAACGATTATATTAAATTAACAACATGAATATTATATCACGTACCAGAATATTTATGAACAAATGAAATAGTATATTAATATTGTTTTCGTAAGTCATATTAGATTAACGTTTAAGTTATTTCGCTAGTATCAAGAGTAATGGCAATGTTTTTTTTATTAATTAATAAAAGTTTTAATTTAACTATTTTCTTAACAAGAAAATATATACATATACTGATATAAATGATTTGTTAAATAATGATAAAATTATTCAAATTTGCCAATTTCAAAATAATTTAAAAACATACGCGATTTGAAGTAATACGCTGTTAATCGAGTCAATCTTGCACAAATTTCATAACTATTAGAAGTGTAAATCGAAAACCCCAGAATTTTTCTATTGCGATATTTTATAATATGTCGAAAGTAAAGAGCAACTAAACGTTTATTAATGTTAGCTAATATATTTGCAATATTACTCCTTACCAGCGGCATATTACTTCATATATTGGAAATTTTTTAACGCATATACAAAATCATAAGCTAAAAATGAATTGATGAATTTTACTTATATTCTACTACGTTTTCATAATATTACTTTGAGAACCTGACTGAGCGGCCGGAAGATAAATATTTTCAAAGACATAATTAGAAAGTTTTTCCCAAAGCTTTCCATTTAAAGCTTCTTCCCACTTCTTTGATGAAATCTGAGATAATGTTACAACTTCATCTAGAATTTCACATTTAGCTTTATCAAAAAGTTCATCCCTTCCGGACTCTCGTAAACTGAAAGAATTTTATATATAAATTATTTCAAATCAGTTTAATAGCAACCTACCGGGGAAAGTTATTTTTCCATTCAGTTTCTAAATTGAATCTAGTTGCTTTAAATGCATCTGCTTGCTGTTCTATTGTTTCTCTGACCATCTTCCAGAAACGATCAGATACTGCTAAACTCAGGTTTCTGCTTGTAACTTGGTGTGGCATTATAACCCCTCGTCGACTGTGTATTAGAGAAACTTATTAATAATAAACAAACGAATAAGAAAACTTACTGGAAAAGCTTTGAGTTCTTAAAGAAATCTTCTTCATATTGTCTAATAGCTTCAATGCTATCGTCTTTACGACCGCGACCTGTGACTACAGCATAATACCCAATGGCTTTCATCGGAAACAATTTTCCGGACAAAATTTTTCTAATCTTTTAGAAGATATAAAGTGTATATATATAATATAAAACGAATATATTTTGTATTTATATGAATTTACTCTGTCTGGATCAGCTAGTTCTTCAGCTAAATCTACTTTGGTTAATACGAAAATAGTGCGCCTTCCCATAGGATCACATTGCATTACTAGATCAGTAACATTACTACGTTCTGCATCAACTGAACCATCCTGAATACAAAGAATTATGGCATTGGGATTACTCATATAATGTTTAGTCATTTGATGTATTGAATCTTTCGTATCTGAAGCCATATCCACAGTCATAGTCTAATAAAATATAAATAATAATAATGAAGACATTATACAGAAATTACGTTACCGAAATAATTCCCGGTAAGTCCACGAGTACCATGCGTTGTAATCCCGGTCCTTTAACCGTCATTGATATCACATCATTACTGACCGTTTTCCCCCCACGTACTGATGCACGCATTCTAAGTTCAATTTCACGACGAAGTTCTGACAAATCTGCCTCTTTATTTAAGTCATATTCTCTATCTGAATCACGGAATTGAGCCACATGATAGGGACCTTCTGCTAATGTTACTTTAACCGGGGCTCGCGTCATCATTTCACCACTACCACGTGGAAAAATTCGTGCCTTGGCAATTGATTCAAGTACGGAAGTCTTCCCGCTGCTTTGGTCACCTACCACTACAACACGTGGCAAATGGTCTGCTACAGAATAACTAGTATCATACCCCGAGAGCTCATCTAGAACTTCAGAATACATATCAATCAAAGATTTTTTGATTCTCTTTGTTGTAGTTTTTTTGTTTGTCTTTAAAATTAAATACTGCTGACGTAATTCGCGGTTTTCCTTTTCCATTTTTTCTAATTCTTTTTGATATTTAATTTGAACGTTCATTATTTCTGTTTGAAGGGCTTCCACTTGAGATTGCAAAGATTCTGAAAATATAAATATATATAATATTTATATCATTGAAATAATTAATATTAATTACCATATTTCTTTCGACTTTCATCATTTGAAAGACTCAAGGCGGAAACTGTCGTTTTTGCTTTTATGTCATCGTTTGCTAAATAAAAATAAAGTTATCGTTATAAATATATTAAATACAAATTTCTTCTCTCACTTTAATACTTATTTTTTTAATAAGGAAAAGCATATAAAACGGAAAATGTTTAAAACCTACATTCAATAAATTTTGTTCCATTATAATCAGCCGCCTCAATAGCATCATCCAAACGGTTATCAAACCACATTCTCCATTCAGATAATTTTTCATCTCCAAGTTGTTTAAGCTTTGGATCTACGTGCGAAAACAATCCCACAATATATTTATTAAGATAATTCAAATTCTCCAATATAAATGAGTTATTAAATCAGTAAAATATATGCAAAACGAGTTACATTAATATTGCACATTTTAATGTGACAAAAAGAATTTGTTCAAAAAAATTATTGCAAATAAAACGTAACTGCAAAATAATTTAAACGTTGAGTAACAATTAGTTTTCAAGTTTTCAAATTTTATTAAAATTGTAAGATGAATGAGTTAATATGATATATAAAATATGACAAAGAAATTACTTTTAGGAACTATAAATTTGAAATTTATTTATCAAAAAAACTTTCAGTTTTAAATTTCTTATATCCTTTAATAGTAGAAGCGCTTAATGTAAACAGAGGTCACCTCGAAATTTCATAAAAAGTATTAAAAATACATCATCTGCGATAGCAGATAAGATATATTTTCGTATCTTTTGTGTAGTCATGTACATGTTCTTCCAAAGAGTACTAACAAGATCCAACAATAATCAGCACCAAACATAATTTAAAGAAATGACAGATTTTATTTCAAATTAAGGATTTAATTCTCTCAAACAATCAATTTATTGTTTTATTTTATACAAAACAGTTCTTGTTATTTGACCGATATACCCAAAATCATATGGGATTAACTATTTCATATTTTTTTATTTTATAATAAAAATCGACTTTTTTCATATTAAAAAAGTAAATTGACCTCTGGTTTTTAATATACAAAATTCATAGTATAAAGTGAGAGAATATATATATTGATAAAAAAAGTAGAACAAAAAATGATATTATAATGTATTACCCATAACATAAAGTCATTTATAGTAGGTTTGAAATAATAATGATTTTAGTAACAAGAAGAAAAATCTTATAGAAAATTTAATTTATTACATATTTGTTCTACTTATGACAAGATCTTGGGCCATAATTACTCACCTATTTCAATAACATCTTTAATAGCATTGCTTATTTCCACCAGTTTTTTCGATACATTATTCCATTGACTTCCTTGAGGAAATACTTCCTCTAACCATTTCATGTCAGGCAGTCCATCTTTCCAATCTTCATATTTCTATAATTTATGTAATATAACATGGTTATATAATACTATTTAACATAAGTACTTTGGTAAGAGATACACCGCCGCCAATAGCACCTCCTAACAATATATAACGTAACTTTAGAGCTCCTCGCAAAACTCGAACTACAATCATGCCATATTGTCTTGTATGTGGAACATTCCATTGCCGTGGTACCACATATGGAGTGACAGGATTGTGCCTGTGCCAGTCGCAAGCTTTTCGTAATCGATAATTGTTGAGTATAGTTGAATAATTAGAACTCAATATTTTCATGCAGAGGCACGGCACCTGCTTGGGTTTTCTAGGAAGTATTATAGTAGTTATGTAATTTATAACACATATATTATTTATACCTATTTCGATATTTCAAAGCCAATCGTAACATTGCTAAAGGTTACAAAATTTTAAATTTATATAAACACAATTTCGATCAGCTCCGCAACTATCGATGCAATATGATTTAATTTGACATACCAAATCCGTAATTCGCAAGGTACAAAAAATACAGTGTTGAATAACGGACAGTTGTATTCTTAATATATAACATTTTAAATATTTTTTTATTACAATAGGTGCTTTCAGCAGTTTTAAAGTGTGATAAAAAACAGGAAGTTGCTTGCTTAAAGTTTCTAAAATGTACGCGAAACAACAATACTATTTTCTCTATTTAATAATCTAGTTGTGAAGTGGCCAAGAATTTTAGCAACTACAAAAACAAATGTTACCAAACAAAATGCGATTTATTCATTGGAAATTTCAAAAAATTATCTAGTCATCGGTCAAATGTTTGTTAATAAAAACTTAAAATTCAAAATTTTTTATATATACACACTTAAATTTATATAAGTTATTTGTATCGAGTTGGCGGAGCGTTTTAAAATAAAAGATGTTTCGCTTTCGGTTGAGAATTGCATCTAAATTTCTTTGTTGAATTAATATTGGCTTGCGCACTCCACTTACAAACTATTTTGCTTATTTTACAAATTTTGAATATAAGCTAATTTTTATTTATTATTTAAATACAATAACAATGTCAGCTGCACTTACAAATTATTATGCTTATTTTATTAATTAATTTTAATTTATTAATTAAATACAACAATAATGTCAATACGCGCTTGCCTCGAGTTCTTTGCACCGCAATGGAACTCGCTATTGCGTAAATCGTTGCTGCATTAAAGCGACAAATTTAATTGTGCGCATGGAGTGGGTCGCTGACATCGTAGTTACATATTTATGCTGACGCATGGTCAGCACTGGTTAATTTATACAAAAATTTTTATAAGTACATAAAGTACAATTGAAAAGCGCTTTAAATTTTTTAACTTATTAGTTGCTATCAAGTTCATACTTACTAAGAACTAAATTTTATAAACTATTATCAATTTTATTGTAAAAAGAAATTTCAAAATTAACAGCATTCTTCACCCTGCTTTTAATTCATCATTCATTTTAATTCTTAATATTATTTCAACTATATATTTTTATTCAAAATGTGTTTCTGAATTCTTTTTATATGAATTCTCCAATAAAACACATCTCGTTTAAAAATTAAAATGCAAAGCAAAAACAAAATTCAAAAAATAAGCTCACTTTCCTGAAAGTGCTTTATGAATAAGCCTGTCGCATTTCGATGGTGCCAAAACTTAAAACTAATCTATTGTGAATAATTTTTCCGAAGAAAATGGCATGCTCCAATCAGCTGTTTATAATTTACAACTGAGTGTTGTGTAAATTTTAATATAGACCTTTTCTTTTGTAAGCATATTGCAAAAGATCAAATAATATAAGCACCATGTAAAGCATGGACAAAATGTAAATTTTGTTAGGCTAATATATGTAAAACACGTAATAAAATTTAAAGATAAAGATTGATAAGAATATTTTTTTTTGCATGTTTGTGAATAAAATAAGAATTTTCATACCTTTTAACAATACAATAATAAATACAGTCAATTGGAAATTTCGTATGTGGTTCCAAAAATCATACACAATGGACGAATTTTTAGTCTTGGTAATCATACGATTTGAACTGCTTATTAGTTAAGCGATTTCAAAAAGGTTGGACTAAATAAGCCAGCAGTGTTATTGTTTCATATGTTATTTTTAAAATAAATACCTTATCTTAAAAAAATAATTTTTTAATAAAATTTATGAAAATAACTGAGTTAGTAACTGAGTTAATGATTTACTAAGGAACTTTTTATTTCTGCGTTCACTAAAAAAATGCAAACATGGATAAATGCAAAACACAATCGTTGTAATTAAGCAAAAAGTAATGAGGCAACTGTAAGAAAATTAAAACAGTGTTAAATACTGCCCATTTAGCATTAATTAGTGATGTTAGATGTATGAAAATTACACAAACGAATTTATTCACGATATCGTATTGCCTACATGAGTAACATAATCTATATGTTTATATGCAAGAATTGTAAATTGCTTCTATAAATTTGGAGAAATGATTAAATGGCATGATCAATTCATCGCCATTTAAATTGTTGGTACGTGTTTACTCCAAATTTATAGAAACAGTGAAATGGCCCAATTTTCTTGTAAAACACATGTATTTTAATAACAATTTCAAATAATAAATTTCTTGTTATTTCAACAATCATATTAAAAGGTTCTTAATTTTATAAACAACATTACTTATGTAACTTATTATAAAACGCTTTTTTATAAAATTCAACGGCAAATTTGTTTGAATTTTTTTACTTGTCATATACATGTTTACTGGTTTCGGCAGTGATGCCAAGTTATTTTTAAGCACCAAAAATAATTCTATTGGAGAATTTATTTACAAAAAAAACACATGTTATGTGGACATATGCAAGATTTGCTTTTTGCGAAAACATAACATTTGATAGATTGTAATAGTGATTGTGTTTGAATTTTTATCATCTGATATCATTTTATTTAGAAATAAAATTGTTTATCGGCTAGCAGACAAACCAAATTAAAAAGCTTTTATTTAAAAATTTTCAGCATATATTTCGTTCTGTTTTTTAGAACTTCATCAGTGCTTCATTTTTGTAAAAAGCAAAAATTTTTTTAGGTTTATAATAATCTTATTCAAATTTTTTTTAAAATTAACAAAACATTTATAAATGTTCACAAAAATCAACATATGCTTCTATTATTTGTGCGGTTAATTTTAGTTCGGAAGAACCTTTCTTGCAGGAAGCTACCGATGATATTAATCAGTCCACTTGGGATCCCAAAATGGGCCATTTTGACTATAAGGTCATCATGCCAGACCTTGTCAAAAGCTTTGGCTATGTCGAATATTATCATCCCGGTTTGTATCAGCTGCGATGTTCTGGCTAGTTGTAGTTCCGTGAAGAGATCATCCCTAAACTCGAATTGTTCCTTCGGAAGGATATTTGGGGCGTTCACCACTGTTTTTAGCCTAGCCAGGATTACTCATTCTGCCAGCTTCCCCAGATTTGGGAGCAGGCTAATGGGACGCCAGATCTGCGGACATAAGGGATTCTTGTCCGGTTTAGGAAACATTACAACCGAGGCCATCTTCCGGGCGTTTGGGAACTTGCCTAGCCTAAACATGCAGTTGATGATGTTAACGATGCATTGGATTGCGTCCTCTGGGAGATTACGCGGGAATTTGTTGCTGATGTTATCATGCATTTTGGTTACATATTTTTCTAAATCAAGTGTTTCTACTTAATTTTGAACTAGATCCCGCACACTGAACACTTATTCATTGTACGGCCTTGTTCAGCAACAAACTGTTGCGACATCTCATTAACAAATTTATTATCTATTAAATAATTTATTAAATAATTGCGATATACACTGTATAAATATAATTTTATACCATTTTGCAATTGTTGTTGGTAAACATGACACAATTTTTCTTCTCTCCATTGTCTGTAATAATAACATAAAATAAAACTTTTATATTAAATTTAAATTTAATTTCCAATAGTTTTCTAAATCATTTTTTTAAAATAACATTTATATTTAAATAAATTAATTTTAAATAATATTTGCGCTTGATATTATAAAATTTTCTTTGTTCTTCAAAATATATTTTGTGCTCTTATTTTTTAACTTTTATTTCTACTGTTTTTTCCAAAAATAGCTGTTTGACCATAATTTACGGAAAACTGTTCTATGAAAACTTATATAAAGAGCGTAACTTGCATTCTATTTGCGTTACGCTTTTAGTTTGTACTGTACTTGTGTTTTACACGAGTTACGGTACAAGTAGCTCGTGTAACAGACCTATCATTTGCATTTAATTAGTTGTTTTAGTTAAAAATTATATGCACACTAACAATAGCATACAATTTGCTAGTGATGAAATACGTGTGTTGGGTATTTGGTATCGATATATAAAAATATAATGGTTTTTTACGATTGCTTACTTTTATTGTGGTAACAATCGTAATATAAAAAACAAAACTATTTAACAATAGCTGCGTTTCAGCAAACATGATCCGCTCAATTTTACATGCAAAACAAAAACAATGGGGTGAACCAGCAATTGATCTGATTCACTTTCTGGTTCAATGTGGAATGTATGTAAAAGATAAAAGTGGAACGTATTTTAATGCAAATGAGGTTGGCATTGCGATGCAACGGTGTAGTAAAATTACAAACAAATAAATCTACATTTATATATATATTTATTATTTATTTTATGTACTTATTTATTTAATATGTCATTAATATTTATTTCTTTGTTTAAAGTAATGTTTTAATTATTACTATTACTATAAATTAAAATTTTTAAAATTAATTAAAATTATTACCTTAATTATTTACGTTTTATTATTATTAAAAAAGTGTTGTTTGATAATTTATGAAAATCAATTAATTTGAAACGAATTTATAAAAACTAAGTTGAATACATTTATTTAATTAAGACAGAACAATACATAAGGAAACAGGCTCTCCAACATACACGTTTATAAAAAAACCATTGCAAACTGCCTGCAAGCTTAAGCTATATTCATGCTTTCTTTTAAAATAAGCCTAATTGCTATGGTGAGGTGCATTTATTTTAACATGTGTGCTGTCTATGCAACCAACCACGAACGGAAATTTTTTCGTAGATTCCACTTTTGCACTATTAGCAAGTGCGTATTTAATAAATTAGTGTTCAATTGCTATACGCTAAACACTAGTTCTTTCAATTATTCTCCATACAGAAGCTTTTGGTATGCCAAAACAAATACCAAATTTGCGAAAAGTATTTATATATGCCATATACTACAAAAATATATAAATTTCCTTCATTGCTCTCGTTCAATTGTGACCACCACGGTTATTGTGTATTTGCTGATTGGATTTTATTAACAAATCTATTAAAATATGAAACATAATTAATATATAGCAATTGTATTTTTTATGCGCAAATACCAATCAAATAGTCTTTAACGGAACAATTATTGGTCGTTTCCATAAAATTTCC